TTAGTGATCTCCACTATAAACCACCGCATGAGTCTGTTGGTTACATTCCAACCTAGCAATACTGGTTCGGGATTGAATAAAATCACTCTTACTTTTACCTTTCAACTATTCGAAATGGTATTCCGGGAAGAAGCGAACGAACTGAACAACAAGCCAGTGGCTTGCCTCAAATAACCTGAATTACCTACCTACCAACAACACAAAAAAAAAATATATCATTCCAGTTATCTTCCATTTTACCGTGTCTAAATGTTTCACCCCCTTTTCACCGTGTTCTGTACTCCAATCCACCTGTCCCCTTTCATTGTTATTGTAATTATTGTTGTTGCGGTGGCACCATACTTCTCTACAAGCCGAGGGTATAAATACCTACCATGCTGCACCCTGGTATATCAAGTCCAGAGGTGTAAATTCTGATAAACGAGGTGCCTAGTTTGAACATCCCCTAACGATACAGAATACACCCTATCCTATTCGCACAAAAGTCTGTGGATAGTCCGACTCCGAGCAGGAAACATTGAAATAAAATAACTCCTCTAGCGAAGTCAGAATTTCGATCCTACGCCTTAGACGGAAAACTCTGAATCAGTGGTGAAACAGTCACACAGTTTGTTCACGGGTTTTTTCGTATACAATACAAATAGTACAACTATGTTGTGTCCCAAATTAACTAGATAAATGAGCACACAACCAATTACGCAGTATGTTTATTGGAAACAGCAAATATGTAGCCAGTTCAGAAATCGGGGAACAAGCAGGAACGATCCGCGTGTAGGAAGGTAGGCCGACTCTGGCTCACACCTCGCACTACTTGCGAATGTCGTCAAACCAGCATTCAAACAGTTAGTCAATCGATGAATCAATTTGGCCACACGCATGTATGAACACAAATCAGTCAGTTGTAGGCCACAACAAACAACAACAACTACTACTACTAGTACCACAAGTACTACTGTCCGTGCCTCTACCATTAGACAATAGTAATTCATCATCAAATGTTCATGATTCCCGTATTATTTTGTTTCAAACCCTGATGATGGTTAACATTTTTGTGAACCTGCCAGTTACCTAAGGGTCATTGCAAATCAGTTCCCTGATGTTATGTTGTATATATACACAACCGCATTCCAAGTGGTGGATTGTTCAACAGTAGGGATAGATTACGTACTCACCAAACCATATTTTCCACAAAATAACCGGTATCACGAAAATTCACACAAATAATATCCGAAGAAAAAGTCAGAATGTGGTAATTCACCTTCGTCCATCCCCGGGCTGGGCATAACCTGCAACACCTGCAGGTTCCCGTGGAAACTACTCAATAGTCGCATGCATACATACATACTCACTTCATTTTTCCATTGTATTTTACCAATTGTTCTTAGTTCTACCACCTGATGACCAAGCTTACTTCTTACGATTAACACGCATTTAAATGGCCGTGGAGTGACATTTCCTACAATTATCCGAACCTTGCATAGTTTCGTTTGGCCTAGTCCGTCCAAATATGATATTGTTCGCGATCAGTTTTAATTGGTTCTTAGGTTTGAATCCGTGGTAATCATGATGTTAGACAGCTGTGGTGCCGAAGCTCGGAGGAGCTCGGGGTTATAAGAAACTGCCACACACACACACACCCTGCACCCTCCCCCAAAGGTGAACAATCAAACAGGGATTCACTCCGAATTTGGCATTACAGTTGTTGTTCGTATTACTCACCCACAGGTTGCCATGGTTTCGGAAGAGTTAGAAAACAAATAGCGACCTGCCGCAGATCATTAAACGGATGAACTGTCGTGACTATTTCGACTGTCTGTCGGATCCTGTCATGTATTCTCCTAGGGAGTGGTGGGATGGGCTACGTGTATACCGTGGTTATTACCTACCGCACGGATGATTGCAAAGACGATTCCAAAGTATACATTATATACAAGGTGTTCGGGGCTTCCCAGGGGTATTTTTGTAAAATTTATCTCAACTGAAGGAGTTAAAAATAAATTTGAAATAGCTGTATACTTTTCAATCCGGCTCGGTAGAAGGCACCAATAGCACTTCCATCCTCGTCAACGAGTACTTCGCACATGGAATCTCTTATCTTCAGGGTTGTAGAACAGTGGGGATTGTTGATTTCCCCGGTTTTTGCGTTGTCGTCCAATCAGTACTGTA